TGCAATTCCAGCAGCCGATACAGAAGTTACAGGGGTGTTAAGATCTGTTCCTACTGACTTATCTAATAAAAAATTTTTTTCGTTAATAGGCAGCTCCCGAAATGTCATTCAAGTGAGGCGATTTATGCGACGTGTACGAGGTGATGATGGCTCGGTGCGGTTTCTTCCTACGCAGACCGTAGCTGTTACATTTGCCTCCACTCAACTTCCAGAATTTGTATACTTAGATTCTTGGCGTCACGAGGTCAGTCAGTTCATTCCTTCTGTTAAGCAGTGTCTACGCTGCTTGAAATATGGACATATAGCCAAATTTTGTAAGAATGCCGAAATCTGTTCTATATGCACTGGTAACCACAACTACAAAGCTTGCAACGTTAAATCTGATAACGCTAAGTGTGTCAATTGTAGTGGGAATCATATCGCCATTTCAAATAATTGCCCCATTAAAAAACAAAAAATCGAAGAAAATAAAATCAAGGCTCACTCTGTAAAATATTCAGATGTTTTAAGGGAGCAAGCATTTCCACAATTACACGCAAAAAACATAGATACCCAACTTCAAAACTAAGTGAAATCAGACAAATTTATGAATATGATAACTGAAATTGTCACAAATATTATTATTACTAATAAGGACCAAAATGTGCCTATTAACTCCAGTTTTATTCGAGATGTATTTAATAAAACTTTAAGCAAAAAAGCTACCTTAACTCAATAATGGTTAATACCTTAAATATAGTTCATTGGAATGCCCAGAGCCTAGGTTGCAATAGGCTTGCCCTATCACAATTTTTATTTGAACAAAATATTCATGTAGCTTTAATATCAGAAACATGGCTAAGGCCAGAACAATCATTTAATATGAAATACTACAACATTGAACGTAATGATTCTGGTAACAAACATAATGGTGTTGCTATTCTTATCCATAAAAGCTTAACATATGACAAAATAACTACATATTATGACAATTCTTTACAAAATATATGCATACGTTTAACTGTAAATAATAGAGAACTTAGTTTAGTAAGCTTTTATTCTCCACTCCAATGTACTCCTAGGTTCGATAAAAATAAGTTTGAAACTTTAATTAAATCTATTCCACAGCCTATGATTTTTGGTGGCGATTTTAACGCTCACCATACTTCATGGGGATGTGGTTCGGACTCGATTCGTGGCAGAGAGGTCTTAGAAGTGATTGACAATAACAATCTTGTTTTGTTGAATGATGGTCAGGTTACAACAGTTGGTTCTATGTCTTGGCGTCCGAATGCTCTGGATCTATCTATAGTTTCTCCGTCGTTAGCTCTTTCATGTGATTGGTCTGTACACGATGATCCTCTTGGCAGTTATCATCTCCCTGTAATTATCAAAGTTCTTGTTAGAAAAAAAGGCAACAAAAGTTCTGATTCACATAATAATAGTATACATTTGCCCATCCACCCTAATTTTAAGATGGTTGATTGGAAAATGTATACCCAAAATGTAGAGTCCCTTTTAACAGACTGCAAATTAGAGAATTATACACCAATTGAAGCTCACTCTGCATTTTGTAAAATAATTAATTTAGCTATAGTAAGGTCGCTTCCACTTAGCAATTCTGCATCTATCAAAAATAGTAACAATACTAGGAAATCACGAGCTTTGCCCTGGTGGAACAAAAAATGTTTAGAAGCAGTTCAGAAATCCAAATTGTCATATGTTAATTTTAAAAATAATCCTTCTGCTGAAACATATATAGAGTTCAAAAGATTACAAGCTTTAAAAAAACTTACCTTGAAAACTGAGAGAAACAATAGTTGGATTGATTTGTGTAATTCTTTTAATCGTTGTACCCCCTTGTCTCGAATTTGGAAATTAATGCGTAAATTTAACAAAACATATTCTTTCAGTAATAATAATAATGATGATTGGATTCCAGAATTTTTACAGAAATATACCCCAGATTATGTACATAATTCACCTAGTTTTCCCATAGTTGATCATTCAAATACTTCATATAACTATTTAATTAAACCCTTTTCTTTTCAAGAGTTGTTGTCTGCAATTCATTCTAGAAGGAATACAGCAACTGGTCTGGATGGCATTCCTTATTCCATGCTCAAAAAGCTCAGTGATAATAGCCTCCAAATCTTCTTATCCATTTTAAATAGTTTGTGGAGAAATAATGATATACCCGATCCATGGAAGTCTGATTGTATAGTACCCATTTTGAAACCAGATAAGCCCAAATTGAATCCAAACTCATATCGTCCAATCACTCTTACATCTTGTGTTGGAAAAATCTTTGAACAGTTGTTAAAACAACGACTTGAGTTTTTTGTGGAACAAAATCACATTCTACCTGCAAATCAATTTGGATTTAGAAGAGGAATGTCTGCTCGTGAAAGTATTTGCCAACTTCATCTTGATATTCAGAATAGTTTAGTTAATAAGAATTTCTTGGTATCTGTATTTTTCGATGTTTCTGGTGCCTTTAATAATATAAATATTCATGTGCTTTGTTCTGAATTGGCTTGTTTAGGAATTCCAAGTAAAATAATTCAATGGATTTATAAATTTTTGACAGAAAGGGAAGTGTATGTCAAATATAATAATAATTTATATGGTCCTAGACGTGCATCCATTGGAGTTTGTCAAGGAGGAATTCTGTCTCCCTTATTGTTTATTCTGTATATAAGACGTCTTAATTTAGTACTAGGTTCTCATGTTAAAAATTTACAGTTTGCTGATGATCTTGTAGTTTATGCATCTGGAAAAAAATTAACAGAAATTACCAACATTGTAAATAAATCTTTAGAAGGTCTTTATAATTATTTTTCTTATTTAAATCTTGATATCAATGCCCACAAATCAAACTTAGTTATATTTGGAAAAATTCATAGCTCAGCCTCCATTGTATATTATAACAAAATCCCTATCCCCATTTCTTGTGAAGCAAAGTTTTTAGGAATATCATTTACTTACAATGTGTCATGGAACAAATATGTTGAAATTATAAGTTCAAAGGCTAACAAAGCATTTAATGTTTTAAAATCATTATGCAGATCATCCTGGGGAGCTGATCCCAAAATATTATTAATACTTTATAAGTCTCTCATTCGCAGTCATTTTGAATATGGGTTTCTCTGTTTTTCTGGTGATAATAGACTGGTGGATAAACTAGAAAAAATCCAAAATAAAAGTATGAGAATTATAACAGGAGCATTTAAAAGCACACCTATAAATTCATTACAGGTTGAATGTGGATTACCTCCATTAAATATAAGATTTTCCTACTTGAAAGAAAAGTTTATTTTAAAACTTTACACAAAAAAAAATAATCACCTTTTTTTAAACTTGGTCAATTCACATATTTCAACAGAGAATCTTTACATTCTTCAGAATTTTTCCCAATTTTTAAATTATATTAATGGCTTGCAAATACACCAGTCAGAATTGCTACCTTGTTATCAGGGACAATTTGAGAGTAAATTCCCAGCAATAAATATTTTCATTGATCATAAATTATCTTGTAAGCAAGATGTTTATAATAAATTTTCTGAGTTTTCTGGTCATCGGTTCTTATATACAGATGGTTCAAAAACAGAATCAGCAGTCTCTTTTGCAATTTTTGATGAGCAATTGAAGTTAGGTACAGGTTACAAAATTAATTCCAACACAAGCATATTTACAGCCGAGGCTCTGGCTATTCTTGCAGGTCTAAAACATATTAAATATAAAAATAATGGATGTCATAAGTGGGTAATAGTTAGTGACAGCATGAGTGTTTTAGAAAATCTTAAAAACAATAAGTTCAATGCTAACACAAACTATCTTATATTTTCGATTAAACAACTTTGGTTAGACTTGAACATTATGGATAATATTCAAGTATCATTTGTTTGGGTTCCTTCACACATTGGTGTGGTAGGAAATGAAAAAGTTGACTTTTTGGCAAGGTTTATAACCAATTCTTCAATAATCCCCGATTCCAGCAATAGCCTTAATATAACTGTTCCAAATAATGACATAATTTTTCTTTTAAAAAATAGATCCACTAATTCGTGGAAAAAACATTGGAATTTTAAAGTCCAAATAGAAAACAAAGGTTTATGGTATGCTTCTTTTAACGTTCCTGTAAATTCTACACCTTGGTTCTGCAAAAGTAACACTTACTTTAACAGGAAATTTTATACAACTATCCTGAGGCTTCGTTTCGGTCACTGTAGTCTAAAATACCATCTTTATCGTCTAAATATAGTACAAAGTCCCTTTTGCGATCGTTGTGACACTCAAACAGAGCAGTCTTTGGACCACATATTCTTTGAATGCCCATCCTTTGGCATTCAGCGCCTTGTGCTAATGGATGAGCTGATTGAGATTTATAAAAGTCCGGAACGGGTACCGCGCTCTACTTCAAATCTGCTCGTAAATACCTCCACATTTCTACCTTTGTTTAAATTTGTAGATAGCACAATTGGGCAAATATAGGTGTACATAGCTTAGGATAATTTTTACGTGTCTTTGTTGTATTTAGTCACTTTTTTCTTCTTTTTTATCCTATTTCGATTTTTTTGAGAATGAAGTCTCGAATGCATAGGTTTGTGGCATAGGTATTCTTCTTCTTCTTCTTTTATTAATGGCTTATCTGCGCATTTCGCACAATTCTGCCAATGTCAGGTGAATAAATTAATTTCTACATGTTAAATGAAAATGAAATGAATGAAATTTGGTTGATGTCAATATGAAACGGGAAGTAACTTTTGTTTGTTGATGTTGTAAGTCAAAGAATAATTCAATGGGTCTTTGAAATTTTTTGAAACGTATTTTTATTGTAATTTTGTTTTTATACTGAAGAAGTTTAATATCATTTTTATAAACTGAAGACTTAACATCATTTTTCAATACTAAGAAATACAATTCAACCAATGACGAGGCAGTATGGTCTATGATCTTAGCCTGTTCCGGAAGGAACGAATAATTGAAAAAAAAAAAAAATCGACAAAAAATGTCTATGGTCGATCGTGGACTTTGGAAGGATTGGCTGTCAATGGATTTTTAATATTTTTTATCAAAAATCATAAAATATGAGTGATAACATGTGCTTCGCAATAAAATCATTTTACCCTATTTTGAAATAGGCCCTTCGATTTTCATCAGTGGCCGCAAATCGGGATTATCATTTGTCTTTGGAATAAAAACCATAATATTTGGGAAGCGACTCCGGTTCGGTGGTAAGCATGTATTTATTTATTTTTGTTGAGAAAATAATTGTTCTTGATTAATTAAATTACTAAGTAATTATTGCTAGGAATAAAATTTATGTTAATGATTATTATAATACTTAGAATATCATTCATTGTTGAATTCCAATAACATTAAAAATAATGTCCTTCGAATGTTAAATACGTGCCTTGCCTACGTGCTGACCATCATAAACAAAGGTTTACTGGTAAAACGCAATTGCTAGTTTTTTCTGTATTTCATGATGTACAGAAAAAAATCTTCATCTTTATTCAGAAGAAATTCACATTTTGACCTACTTAGGCGATTTATGTAATCTGATAGGTGTCGGAATACATAAGTAATTGTTTATATTCATATTGACAGATTTCATAGCAAAAAGGAGAATGTTTATTTGACTGACATATTATACTACCATTCCAAAATAAATAAAACAGTTACAAAAATGGCAAGATATTATGAAAATTCATCAACGTTCAACTTTAGCTGGGATCAAGTAGCAAGTGGGTACTGGAAAAGATACCCAAACCCACAGAGGTAAGAATTACAAATTCTAAATTTGTATAATAAGAATATTAATTTTCTTGTTGAATATGTCAATAATTATTGAATACCATCTATAATAATATTTCATACAATTATAGAGGACACTGATTTTTATCATATGTTTATTAATTTTTTATATATAGCACTCATGTTCTATCAGAAGATACTTGGAGCAGGCAAGTGAAAGATGGCTGTTTATACACAAAAAGGCTTCTTACCAAAACCAATAGGGTACCTAAGTGGGGAGAAAGGTATGTTCCATTAATAATGCCAATTCAATCTTTTCACCTATTTTAAGTTATCACATTATTTAAAACTAGTGGACGCCCGCGACTTCGTCCGCGTGGAAGTCGGTATCCCGTGGGAGTGAGAAGTTTTCCCAGTAAAAAGTACCCTATGTGTTATTCTGATGTATAACCTATATTGCTGTAAAGTTTTATCCAAATCCGTCCAGTAGTTTTTTCGTGAAAGAGTAACAAACATCCATACATCCATACTTACAAACTTTCGCCTTTATAATATTAATAGGATGGTATTTCCTAATCCACTCTAGATATGGAATCTGGGGGTATAGACATGCCCCCGCCATGTGGAAAAGTAAAAAGGGCACTGCTGTACCATCCTTTTTTGTTATTAAGATAACTACAATAGTAAAGTTGCATTTCATAATTGAAAACACTTTAAAAAAGTCTAATAGAAGAATTTATATTTTCAATTTTTTTTAATTTTGTTATATGTGGGTGTGTTTTTGCGTGTTGATTACATAATCTTATCTGGAATATGCTGTTTATCTTATGTCAGTACTGTTATTGATGTGTAAAGAAAACAAACTATAAGAATAGCGTCTTATAAATTAATTATTTGATTTTATTATACATATACAGTGGAATCTCGATAACTCAAATGTCAAGGTAAATCTCAAAAATTTCGACTTAATGAGTTTTCGACTTAACAAGAACTTGAAATTCTTTAACTAAAATTTAAGTCATAGAACAATGCATAGAAATAATATTACTCTTAAATGTTAGCACAATCTTTAAAGAAATTACATACAAATGTATTAGTCTAGTAAACTGTACAAAAAACTACATAAAATCTGTTATCTACTAATTTTGACTTACGGAGTCTGGTTTTTGAATATCGAGTTATAAAGTATAAATATGTACTATAAATACCTCATAGGGAAATAACATTTTGTACTAGTTATTAAGTCTAAATAATTCGAGATATTAAGTCTAAATATTCGGATTTGGGGGTTCAGCAGAAAGTAATAAAGATTAATTCCAACTTACTGAGGATTAGGACTTAACGAGGTTTGAGTTATAGAGGTTCCACTGTAATATAATCATATGTTTATTGCTTAACTTAATATCGCCCTAGGTCCAATAAAGTCTATATTTATTGGTTAAGGCCCTCTTGTACTGTCTATTTTTTTTTGTTCTTTTATATCCTTAATCTAGTAAACATTTGGTTCAAATTAATTTTGTAGTAAGATTAAGTGCTGTTGTGTGCTTAATAAAGAATATTCTGTATTTTATGCTTACCTGTATTATAAATTTATTTTATAACATAGATTAAAGTTTTTTTTAAAATAAATTTATACTTATACCTTTTAAAGTAAAAATCATAAACAAACTATTGAATTGGAAAATGTTTTTAAATTGTGAATTAACAGCAAATGGTAATAATATTAATGATTTATTCAATAATTTGTCATAATTAGTAACAGTGCAATGTTGATTTCATTTTATTGTTTCAGATTTTTCAATGCTAAGTCTGTAAAGATAATTGAAGAGAGTATTGTCGATCCAAAAAATAAAATCCTTGTGACATATACTAGAAATTTAGGTTATACTAAAGTTATGGTAAGTTATTTATTATGCAATTGAAATTATTCTTTTATAAAACATTCATCTCATCATCATCATTTATATTGCATTGTTTCCAAATTTTTATTATAATAAACTCTGTACAGACAGATATCAAAGTGTCTGCATTATCTGATAAGTTGATATTTTTTGGTATTCATTTTCTGACAGATTAGATGTTCTGTTTCAATATAAGTTTGTATGGAATTAAATTACAAACTGACAAAATTTATTTGAAATGCTTGTTTGTCATAATCTATCACCAAATTTTACATTTCCTATGTAGTGTAAATAAGTAAAAGTATGAGGTCTACAGTATACCTCAAGGGACTTAAGTGTTAGTAGTTATGCAGGTGGTACTGAAATCAACTGTGTTTAAGGTATATATATAAAAAAAACCTTAATAGGCATTGCACTAAAAATAATATCTTATTCAGGTAAAATACTATCGACATAGTTCTGATGCAAAATCTGTTTAAGTTAAGATATTTTGTTGATATCCTCAGAGTGTGGTAGAAAGAGTTGAGTATCGCTCGGCTGGTCCAGCGCAGACGGTGGCGAGAAGGTCGGCGTGGATTGACTCGCAAGTGTTCGGTTTCTCTCGAGCCATACGTGCTTTCGGCGTCGACAGGTTCCGCAAGAACTGCAATCAGATGGTGAGTGGGGAAAGCTATCCATTATTCTTATATCTTCTTAAAGATATCATTACCATGACTACATCAGGAAAATTGAACAGTAAAAAGTGTTTTATAAATTAAAATTTATTTTCAAAATATTTTCTATAGTGTTGTTTTTACTTTCCATTGTGTGGTTATATGAATTAGAAGAATTTAGATTGTATTGGTTAGGAATTAGAATTCATATTTGCGTCAAAGAATATGAGAGCGTGGTTCCCGCACGGACCCGAAGATAGCAGGGCAATATTATTAGTATAATGAATAAGGAAGGAATAAATAGCATTATTTTGTTAATAGTCCATAAATTTAATTATTAAAGTAAAAATCTGTTCTAGTAACTAATTACCAAATATTTGTAAGTTTTTTTCGAAAAAGAAATAAAACTTAAAAAAATATTTTGAATTAAATTAAAATTTAATGATGATATATGATATAAAAATTTAACACTTTACTTAAATAATGCACCATGGTCAATGCCGTAAATTCGCGCTTAAACGGTTAACGCTATGCAAGACTAGACTTATGACTTCATTGCAATTTATTTATTATTGTCCAATATAAATTTTGAATGTTGTTGCTTAAGTGTTGATATATTAGTGGGTAATTGGTTGGTTAGTGATCTCTGTTATTATACCGTTTAGGTGAACGGTTTCAACCACGTGCTAAACAGCATGTTTCCGCGACAAGGAGCTGGTGTAAACAGTATGGCGACGGCGCCTGTAGCGCACACGTTCAAAGAGATGCGTGACGCCGCAGCGGCCGCCACAGACAGAGCTAAAGCTAACGTGCTCTCTTCAGTTAACCGCACTTAACACGACTCAGGCCCTGATTAGTTGGCTTTTAAACATCTGTTAGACAGTGCTAAGGGGAAACGAACCTTATGTAACCGACATAATATTCCAGATAACATACCTCTGAATTTTAAATATATATATATAATATTTATATGTACATATATGGTGATTTACTAAAACGTGGCTCAGAAATGAAGTGGAAATTTACACTTGTGTTTTATGAATTAGGTTTTATGCTGACTTTTAATTAATGATTAGTGGTGGATTAGAAAAGGAAATACTTACCTACTAGAGTATAGTAGCAAAGTGTGTTGTGTATCTAATCCTGTAAAAATCAATGATCTATGTTATCATATTTTGCTCTACTTTCGGCTTGGTCCTCATGGAGCGTCCTTAAAAAATTGTTGATAAAATAGTATCAATATAAGTTGATTTTGGTGTGACATTATATTGATGTTTTTTTCACATAAAGAATGATTTAAAGAATTTTGAACTGTACTGAAACTTTGAAAAATGAGGAGTATAATCAAGAGCATTATTTCCTTACATTACTTATTTGCGTTATGCATTTTATAGCCACATACGATTCGAGATAATTGTTGTAACAGAAAAGAAAGAAACTCTTCAAAGAGAGTTACCATTGATGTAAAATTACTTAGTTCTTATTAGTAACGGATTATGTAGGAAGGTCTTTTGTTTTAATGGTTTTATTTTTCACCATGTATTATTATTATTTTTGTATGTTATAGAATAAAATATACATTTGTACGAAGTACATAGTGATTGGCATAAATTTAATTGCATTAATATGTATTATGTTAATAATAGTTTTGAATTTTTATGTATATTGCTTTAACAAATTCAGGTTTACTTTCGCTTCGAGTGGTCCTTATATTTTAAAGCATATTTTGCACTGCCATGCTATCCTAAATATGTCATATGAGCTACTTTTACTTGAACCTATCTACCTACAACCGCATTCCACCTGTGGAGAAATGTATATTTGTGTTTACACACCAAATGGCATTTTGAAGCTTTTGCTTTGACTGATTGATCATTTGTATTGATTGGATATTGTTGAGTGTGTTGAATAATAGTTAATGTTACTTATTAAGAAGGAATATTTCAGTTTCTTTATTTTTGACAATCAATTTTGGCAGCAGTGTTTTTTAAAATTATGAATGAAATTAAAGATGTTTGGAAAACTACAATATACCAAATCCGTAAATGAGTTTAAATATGTTTGTATATTTGATAAATAAATAAAAAAGGTTAATTTCTTAAATAAAAAACAAAATTAAGTAGTAATGCTGTCTTTTGACAAAAATAAGGAAACCGAGACGTTCTACCATTGTCAGATAAATAAACATTGATGCCCTATGTATGATAAGAAAGGAGTTTGATTTCAACAAGGAGTTTAAATGCATAATCGAACATATCTTTTTGATAAACTTCTGTCAAATAGCATGAATTGCATCAGTTCTATTGATATTTATGTGCAAAGTATCAATTCACTGTTTATAATTATTATTAGTTATCGTATGAAACATGTATAAAGCAGTAATAAGAAGATATTTGTTTGGATGGAAAAATATGTTTTCATATATTTTCTTTAAAATAAAAACAACTACTTACCATTAATACTTACTGACTAAGGAGCTACCTAATAAGGCCATAGGTACCATTGTTTGAATTATCGTTGCAATTGCAGTCAAGGTATAATTTTTTGTACAGTTTAGACAGAAATTAGTAATTTGACAAATAATTACAAATGAATTGTTGCTATTACTAAAAATTTGTTAACCAAATGAAAGAAAACATAAATAGGTAACCGAATTCAATTAAATTATATTTTTATATAGTAACAAAGTTATGTATATTTTAACTGAGAAAAATACAGTTTAAATAAAAAATACTCTAGTCTAGTTTATTATTTTAATTCTATGTCTATTTAAGAGTGCGCATAAAAGTAAAAAAAAACTGTCAAAAATATGTTTATACAATGTGTTAAAATATATGTTATAATAACTATTGAATCAAAAAGGAAGGGCTTAGCAATAGAGTTGTATTTGTTAATTTTTACTAGAATAATGTTATTGCAATAGAAAAAACTTGGTAATTTTTGTGATGATGTGGTTTACTTATATCAATATGTTACTTTTTTTCACATGCTATTTATGCGCTCTCATAAGCATGAAATGTAATATAGTTAATCGTATTTCATTTTATGACGAAATACAATTAATTGAATTAAATAAATAGATTACTGAGTCAGATGACACGCCATGGTATAAATTAGATTGTAAATTTAGTAATTATGCTAGTTACCACTTTCAAGAAGAGAATGATTAAATCAATACATACACAACAAGTTGTTTTATTTAGGGTTAACTTTTTTTATGAATCATTAATGTGGAGATTTTTTTGGATCGGTTTTGAATAAAATTCTAACCAACAAATAAAGATGCGAGAAAATTATATTATAGAGGTCCTCGCTCAGTTAAATGTGCGCGGACTTCTGAGACTTATCCAAGGAGTTGCGGGCCTAGGATCCGCGCCCGACGTTGGTGGGTACAGTTGTATCAGATGGACTAGGCTATGGATTGCTTATATTATTTGCCAAAAAAGGAAGAGAAACTTAACCCGCCCATTACTCGCTGCGCGTATATAAACCGGAAATATTCCTTTAAATATAATAAAGGAAGTTAACAATATCTCTTGTTAAACTTTGTTTCTTTAGCTAATTAATACAATAACATTGAAATTCTGTTAATTCAATTAACAGATATTGTAAGTTATACTTACAATATTACAGTTAATTTAGTGGTGTTTTATACATTTTCGGATGTATTTCAGCTAATAAGGGAATTTTATGCTCATAAAAGAAAACAAGTATTAAAGTTTCTCTAATTTGCATTTGCTAGTCCATTTCATGATCAACACCTATTTTTTGTAACATTATAATTTAATTGTTTTAGTTAAAAATGGCTACAAGGTTTATACAATTTCATTTTACAATTGTGTGAGAACAATTATTTAACTTTGATAGCAGCTCTAAGGCGTGCACTTCTGCTTCTAGGATTTCTTTCAACTTCTTCATCGGTTGGTATCTCCACATGCTTGGTGAGACTTATCCAAGGAGTTTCTAAGAATTGATTTATTGTATCTTGATTTTGTACTAAAGTTGGACTAAGATACTTTAGCGGGACAGGATTAGCTATTTCATTTACTATATTACCACCTAAATGCCTTTTCACTATTGTGTCTTCAAGAGAATGAAAACATATTGTTATAAGTCTCCCACTAAGTTTTAAATAGTATTTAGCTAATACCATTCCATAATTTAGTTCATTCAGTTCATTGTTTACAAATATACGAAGAGCTTGGAACACTTTTGTTGCATTAGACTGTGGCCTTTGCAGTTTGTCTAATCTTACTTCATCTGGGGTGCATGCATTCACTACATCAACTAGTTCCTTTGTAGTATCAATGTTCTTAATCATATACCTAGCTTGAATTATTGTTTGTGCTATTTTTGCTGCTTTTTTTTCTTCACCATAGATTTTAAATATTTTATAAAGTTCTGGTTCAGTAGCTGTTGCCAATACTTCCCTTGCAGTGATTTGATTAGGATCTCTTCCTGCATCCATCCTCATATCTAAATAGCCATTTTTGTTAATAGAAAAACCTCGTTCCCCTGTATCTAGCTGCATTGAAGAACAACCAAAATCAAATAATATACCGTCTATACTAGATTGTCCATATCCTGCAGATTTTAACAGTTGTGGTAGTTCACTGAATTTGCCTAAAAAAGGTGTGACTCTATTAGGATATTCTTTAGCAAGTAGATGTGCTTTTTCATGAGCGATTGGATCTCGATCTAAGGCTATGATGTGTGAGTTGGATGTTGCTTCCAGTATTTTTCTAGTATGCCCACCGGCACCAAATGTCATGTCAATGTATATTTCATTGTTTTTAGGTTTAAGGTGTTTTATGACTTCATTTAGCATAACAGGTGTGTGATCTCTATATGCATTTTTTTCTGTACTGCATTGTCGATAAAGAAGCAATTTCATCCGTTTTATATGTCTCCACATTATTTTTTTGTTTTATTTAAAATTTTTTGAAAAAACCCTTTGTTTTCTTCCTTCAAATAATTGAGAACTTCGTCAGATAGTACTAAATTACACTCTTCAGTGCTCAAACCAGTAGCTGTGCTATTTCTAGTCCTCTTATATTTATTCCTGTAGTAGTTGTCTGCTAATTTGTTGAGAGAGTTGTATTGTCTGTTACACAGCTCAGAGTCTAGTTTCTGTCTGTCTTCCTCAAAAGCTGTTTTTACTTTGTCTCTTATAAACTTCCCAAGATCTCTGTAATTTATATTAATTAACGTTTAATATATACATAATGTACAGCCAAAATATTCGGAATTTGAGATGATTGTTCATCAGAATACTTACCTTCCAGCCTTTGTATTGTCCAGTGGCCACTTTGCTATCAATTTCGTGAATTTCTTGTATTGGCTAGTCATTGCTAATTGATTTCATATTAGCTAAATATTTATCTTCACTTACTATTTAGCAGAATTTCAACACTTATTTTTAGGTTATGTTCAGTGTTGCTAGGTCATAAAATCGTGTTATCCTTACTTGAAAAGTTAACCCTACAGTGCACGATTTTTTTTATTTGAACAGAAAAATAATATGATCTTTTAAATGTTACCTATGTTTATAGAAAAATAATTAAAAAAAACTATTTTCAATATTTTCGGATTTTTTTGAATATTTCAGTATGTACCAGATATGTCACAAAATACGTTTAGGGTGTATAAAGTTTTATATGTATATAACTTATTCTTAGCAAGAATAAAATAAAACAGCAATATTAATTATGTTATATTTTAGTTAAAAATTAAACTATAATTTTGTCAAATTATAGTAAGCATAGACACTACAATATATTAGAAAATAGGAAGAAATTGAGATCAGTAATCATTATGTGTAGTCTTTTCCTCTTGAATAAATTTTACTCTTTATTTATGAAATTTACATATGAAATGACATAAAACATTTTTTATCTTTATGGGCACAGCGCCACCTTACATTTTTCGCAGTTTACAAATGATTTCCCCTTACAACCAGGGAACTTACAGCGTTGCCTAGAAGTTAACCATAATGGGAAGTGGTCGGTGCCATCAGTCCTGGCGTCTTTGGGTGATACGACAGCTTTTGGCTTTGTTTTCATCCTTTCTTCCAGCATATCAAATCCGGAGATATGTAGTAATATAATAAAAAAACTTTGTGGTTTTGTTCTTTTGGAACTGTTCGATAGTGGAGCACTATTATATTACTATTCGCGCCCAAATCAGGTTCATTAGTCGGTCTCAGGTCAGGATCATTTTCAGTGCCAGAATATATTTCGAAAGCATAAGCGAAACCGTTGTCATCACACAAAACTAATAGCTTTTTTTAACCCTTATTTATGCGGTTTGTTGGAGAGGTATTGACGTAAAAAGTTACACGCTTTCTTAGCACACATTTTTCGTCTGCTAAGAGCGTTTCTCTTTTTGGGATGTTTTGTCATTTTTTTATAATGTTTCAAGTATTGGTCTTATACGGAAGAAGCGATCATGACCTGGTTCACCTCTGGCTGTAAAATTACGGTTGTCATTGAAGTGTATGAATCTACGAATTGTCTCAAAATGGGTGAGTATCATACAATAAGTAGCATGCCCAATTTATGATTTCACAACAAGCGTATTTTGGACTGAGGATTTAATCCAAGCAAAAGATAAATACCCAGGTACTTTTTCAGATTATTCTGAGTGACAACAAATGGTTTCGATGTATCTTTCTGAATACTATATTTTGTAGACTCCTCGATGATATGTTTTAGTAAATTCTCATAAAAAAATACGTAAAATATTGTAACGGCATATCAAAACTCGAAAAAGTTTCATCTAACATGCCCTCAACTATGAATGGTGGAGGTGGTGACTGGAAAGCTGTCTTTCGACAGATGTATCTACTTTATTTAGTAGTGTTCAAAGTAAGTTGACAAGAAGGTTGACCTGAAGATGTACTTGCTCTCAGACACTCCACTGGCGATCTAATTGAATCTGCTGCTGAAGTTGATGCATTGACATTACCAGAAACGCTAGTTACTGTAATGTTCAATGTGTTTCTCGCCTGTGACAAAGATTTATTGAGGGTTTGGTCAATGTAGTTATACTCAAGTAATTAGGGCGTTTTTTCCATTTCATTCATGACTCAATCTCATAATCTTATAAGATCATCATCACTATCTTCATCAGATATCTCTAGTTCATCTTCACTGCCCGATAACATACGTAAAATATGCTCAGTTTCGGTTGTTGTTACTCTTTTGCAGAGCTTCATCTGAAATCAATCAAGTATCATATAATAACCCTTATTGCAGAGTGACCCATATCAGTCACATACAAATAAAATCCAAAATATGCATAGATAGTAACTGATATCATAAAGTACTTATTTACCAATAAACTATAAACAATAACTTACCTCTTTTATATTTTTCCGAACGAAAACACTCTAACTTGGCTTTTTTTTTTTTCAATGGTAAAATTTTACGTTTTCAACTTTTTTCAAAGTGACCGCTAATTTGACTGCAGAATAGTTTTCTAAGTGCAGCGCAGCCCTATGAACGAATGTGAACTATATTTTTATGTACTATAGTGTGTAGTTACGCTACTTTCTATTAGATGGCGTGAAAAAGTGTCGTGTTACGAAATACAAGGAATAAATCGGTATGTACCATATGTGTCACACTATGCGCTGTAGGGTTAAAATATTTTCATTTTTAATTATATTATATTACTGACTGATTTCATTTACGCATACTATTCATTAAATGAAATAACTATAAACGGTGCCCTTTACAAGTTCCATTTTCAAGTTTTAAGTGATCACGGAATCTGCAAAGGATTTGTAACGCCATATGAGCAAATAATATATATTTTTTAATAGTTTATTTTCTTAATTAAATTAAAATATTTAATAAAAATTGTATGTATAAATTTCTTTTATTTTTATGACAAAACATCCAAAGTTGGCATCACTAAGGCAAGGACTTTTTTTTTATATACAATTTCTATGATATTTTTTTTAAAACCAAGAATATTAAACTATTAAAAAAAAGGTATTTTTTTTTACGTTAATGGTAACGAAATTTAGTACAAACAGTTGCGTTTATATAATTTTTAAAAAGTTGATATTCGACATGCAATAGTGCTTAATCCACAGCATCTGAGGCTTCGTTCACAAAAAAAAAATAGTCAAATCAAATCAGACAAAATCAAAATCATTTATTCAGTTTAGGCTGTTACAAGCACTTTTGATCTACGGCGGGAGACTTTGTACCAAGAAGAACCGGCAAGAAGTGTTTCTTACAATATCCCTCGTTAATCTACTTTACTCGGAAGGTCATATGAAGAAACGGAAAAACTTCTAACAGTAATATCCTGACATAATATTACACACACATACACAACATTTGCGCTCTTTCACTCACACACAAACACAAACATACACTCAAACACACACACACACACACACAAAATACCTGATTTTAAGTGAACAATGTTGGTTAATAATTAAATTTGTAACTATCAGTAATTATTATAAGTAACCTTACATTTATCGTAACTTAGTGCAATCTGGTGCTCATACTAAAGGGAATATAGGGAAAGGAACTGAATCCCTAAATACAGATTATTTGTATAATCTATTAGGGTCAGTTGTGATTTATACCGTCTATAATAATTGCCTTATATAACTAATTACCTTAAGACCTGCATACCATCTGTTCAAATGTATGTTTTTTTTGTATTATTTTGGCATGAATAAAGAATTATTATTATTATTATTATTATTATATTATTATAATCTTTTGGCAAGGGCTGCTTTTTTCTCCGTTTTATTAAATACAGAGTGTCAAGATTGAAAAATGACTTCATTAAAATATGAAGTCACTTTCCATTACAATTTCAGAAAATATAAAAGTAAAACAGTATTTTCGTCAATCGATTCTCATGTCTAGTCAAACAAGCTCACTGATAAATAATTTAATATACATAAAAATAAACCATATTCAACACCAAGCAGTTTTGTCGTTTAAATATTCATTAACAGTATAATATCCTTTAATGAGTAGACAATTCTTAATATGGATCTTAAATTTAGGCAATGGTAGATTTAAAATTTTCATAGGAATTTTGTTATAGTAGTGTATACCTTGACCAATAAATGTTGTTTTGTTAGAACCTTCTTTAGCCTACATGACGACAAAACAATTTTTTCTTTGTTTCTAGAGGTTGCTAGTATTAAAATTGTGTACATGACTACGTTTAATGTAATTGTTAATATTGTTTTTAACATAAAGTATACAATTGTATATCAATTGGGAGGCTACTGTTAATAGCTCTTTGATATTTCTTTGAATTTATCTGTAAGTGATGTTCTTGAACCTAATCGATAAATAGTCCTTACTGCTTTTTTTTGTAAAATAAATTGAGACTCTATTCTGCAGCCATACCTAACAGCAGAATACCATTTGACATAACGCTGTGGAAATAACTAAAGTATACTGTCCTGCCAGTATCTACATTTGTGAGTTGCCTAATTTTTCGTATTGCAAAGGCAACTGAACTTAGTTTTTTGTCAATAATGGAATATGAGGATGGCATTGCAATTTAGAATCCAGCGTTACACCCAAGAAAATTGTTGAATCTACCAACTCGAGCTTTTCATCATTAAGTTTAATTTCTGTTAGTTTAGCTTTTAAATCAGGTAATATAAACTTTATACATTTCGTTTTTTTAGCATTTAACTGGAGATAATTTAACAATAAACCAGGACATTTTTACATCTATCAATATTAAACAAGTGTCATCTGCAAACAATACTACCTATATCGCATAAAGTTTCAACAAAGAATAGCAAATCATTTCTGTATGTTAGAAACAGAAAGGGACCCAGACTAGATCCCAGGGAAACCCCTATTTTTACTTGTGAACCAGGTGATCTCGTACCGTTTATATCGATGGTTTGAATTCTGGAATTGAGGTACGACGATATGAGTCGTAGGGTCTTTGATACCATAGTAATTTAGCTTCGTTACCAGTGTTCAATGCTCAACGTAATCAAATGCCTTGGATAAGTCACAAAATACTCCAAGAGCATTCTGTGACCCCTCTTAAGCTTTGAATATATGTTTAAACATATATTCAAAGCTTAAGACAGATGCTACACTAGCATCAGTAGTAGAGCGACCTTTTGTGAATTAATATTGTTTAGTATGTAGTAATTTATTTAAATTAAAGTACGACAATAACCGTTCAGGAATTATTTTTTCAAAGATTAATGCCGGTAATATTGGTCTATAATTACTATGGTCTTCCCTGTTACCGGATTTAAAAAGAGGTATAACTTTGCGAAGCTTCATAAGATTTGGAAAAATTCCTTTTAAATTTATACAACGGTTAAATATATCAGCCGAGTAAGTGGCTATACTTTTAATAATATTAAGAGATATGCTCCATAAATCTCATGTGTTATTCAATTTCATATACTTCAAGGTTT